TTTGAAACATGTAACTTGCTGTACAAATTGTAACAATACAGTCAAGGCTTTAGCATATTTGATTATAACAAGTTGGTACTACTGAGTACAAGCAACAAAAAGTTTGATATGAGGCGAAAATTTTATGAAAATCCAGCAAAGACTAAAATGTCAGCAATTAGTTGGTACCCCTTCTGGTTAGGCCCCTCACTAATTCTTTGTATTAGGTTTTGGTTTATTGTAAGTAGTTGTATTCACAGCTCTTTATTTACTTCTGCGCGCTCTTTCATTTTACAGCTCATAATACCTTGAGTGAGTAGAACCAAAACGAGAAATGAACGCCTCTTATGTCTGGTTGCTGCTACACCCCATGCGCCAGGGCGATTCGCCAGATACTCCAGAGTCGCAGGGAGGCATGTGGTATGACAGAATGAAATGATTGGTGCATATTCTCACCAATGAGACGCGAAGTTTCAATTGAACTAGATGATGTGTGCAAACACGGTCAAAATGAGTGGTGACGATTCCTGGTCAGGATGTCGAACCACAGCGAAGAAACCAATGGCTGTTGCGAAACATGCGTGTGACGGGACAGAAAAGGTTGGGCAAAGTCGCACAGCGTCGCAGGAGCTGACAGACACGGGTCCCAACGCCTCAGGGGTTTTTTCTTGCCTGGGAGCTTACTGAACAACTTTCGAGATTATCCACACCAACACGGTACACCTGATGCTCGTTAGAGCCTCTCCCGGTTGCCTTGTGAACTGGATCTGTAAGCTAAACCTGCATTTCGCGGGGCATTCGTGAATTTCGTCAGGCGTCCAGCGTGCTTCAAAACTGCACATGGCATCCACCCATTTTTTCTGTGTCGCAACAGTAAGGGGTTGCAGCACTTGTCCCTGTTGTGTGTTTAGGGTTACTAAACGAACGCTACAGTACCGAAACAAGCATGCACAACAATTGTTCTTCGTAGTAAAAAACAGTCAAAACACAAACACCTTCCAATCAACACATCCTCCACCTGGCCCATCATCTCCATTCAACACACAAAACAAAGCACGCACAAATGGGCACAAGGAGTGAACACTTGGGCTCTCAGCAAAATGCCTTCGACACCTTGCGAAATCTGCTCCACCCCCCCCTCACAGACGCATCCACTCAGCCGCGTCCACATACCCGTCCATCACGGCGCCCACACCGGCGTCAAACAACTCTTGACGGCGAGACGGACGGGTCATCCAGCCGGGCAGCACACGGCCGCGCGGACGAGGGGTCTCGGGCGTGGGAGTTGCGCCCGTGGAGGGTACGGGCTGAGGCGCCACGTTGAGGTTGAATGACGGGCTCGCCCGCTCCATCCGCGCGATTACGATGGGGTTGCGGATATCGAACAGATGGCACAGATCGCGCGGCGTGATGCGGGTGGCCCGTGCATATCCGATGAGCATCTCGCATGCCACCCGTGCAGTGCGCCACGCTTCGCGGCACACTGGGTCGGCGTCGTCGTAGACGGATTGCATGGTCGTCGGCGCGTGCCAAAGCTCCACCTCTAGGCCCGCCTCCGGCTCAGTTGTGGGCTGTCCCGCAGCGCCCTCGGCGCACGTTGGCTCGCCGTCGTCGGTGGCGACGTACTCTACGGCCGTCATCGCCGCATTCCCGAGGGCGAGCACGCTAATAAGTGTCCCGACATCGTCGATGTCGTCGTCGAGCTCGATGTCGGGGTAGACGGCGGGGGAGGGCTCATCGTCGTGTACATGCGTCAGCTCCAAGGACCACGAGAGCGGCAGACACCCCGTGCGCCACCAGCACCGTTGAATGGTGCGCGCGCCGACCGAGGTCCACGCGAGGACATCGCGCAAGTTCGGGCGGAAACGTGCGACGGCGAAAGTCGCGCCGTCGCCGTTCCACAAAGCCGAGAAGGCCCGCAGCCAATGCTGTCGGTAGCGGGCCTTTACGGCGGCTATGATGCCCTGATTGAGCGGCTGTGTGAATGTGGTGGTATTCGGCGGCAGGAAGACGAGCCGCACGTTGCTCATGCAGGTCGTCCGCATGCCGCAGACGATCTCGCTCCATGCGAGCTCAGAGCGGAGCATGTGGCTGCTCGCGTTGTCGAGCAGCAACACGATCTTGCGACCTTTGGCGTACATCGCAACATTGAGCTGCGATATGAAATGTGTGAATAACTGCAGGGACGGGAAGGGAGGGGAAGGCGGAACGTACATGGGAACATTGCAGGCACAAACACATTCCATACAGATTTGATATTACGCGTAATTTGTCCGCAGCAACAAGAACGCACGAAACAATAAACCACGACGAGCTTATCGGCGAGGTCATCCAGCCTTATGCGTTGTGCCGCCAGTAGCAAAGGGATTCAAGGTCATAATCCGAGCGGAAGTCATGCGGCCGCTTCGCCTTACTGATCACGAGCGGTCGGAATACGTGGCTCCCGTCAGCATTCACGAGGAATGCCACGGTGAGCCGCTCCTTCGATACTTTGCAGCCGGGAATGCGGCCGTTGCTGTAAGTGCGCCGAGGGAGGACTGACAGCCAGAGCGCCGTCTCATCGAGGTTGAAAGTGTCCCGCGGGGTGACACCGAGATGCATGAGGAGTTGCGGCAGCTTCTCACGTGCGTGGCGCACGGCGGCCATGTCCGCGCTAGCCGCCTCGCCTTGTGTTGCACGGCACCTCACTCCCTGGTACCTCAAAGCACGGCGCACCCAGCCGATGGAGCAGCGGAATGAGGGCGGAATGCCCATGTTCCGGGACATCGTCGCGACATGGTCGCGGATGGTCTGCAGCGTCAGAGGCATGCCAGCGGGCCCTGCGTTTGCGATCCACCGCGCCATGGCCTGCTCCAGCTCAGGCCATGCGCCACCTCGACGGCGCACTTGGTTGTCGTCGGTTGCCGTGACAGCCCATCGCTCGGGGAGCTTCAATATGCGGCCGACAGTGGAGCGATCCGGGCGCAATCCGTACTGCGTGTAGCACCACCTCGCCATGTCAACATGACGCAGGCGGCGGTTGTCGACGCGGTGCGCGCAAATAGCGCGCTTGATATGGAGCGGGAGCTGCTCTTGTCGATTAAAGCGGGGCATTGTGAGCGGCTGGGGTGTGAGAGAATGCTGACTTAGTGAATTAGTTGTTCGATTTTTATCGTCACAGGTCGGGCATGCTGGGCAAGGCTGGGGCCTGTTATTTGTTGCATGTCACATTTTGGTGATTGGTGTTCGTTCCATGCACATGGCTTGCATTTTTTATCGCGTGGTTTGGTAACCACACCCTCGAATGTCTGACGTGGGGTGGGCGAAGCACGCCTGGCTGGTAATGCGCTTGTACCTTGCAAGTCCCGAATTACACGTGGCAGCGTGTATTTGACCAAATGCCTGTTACACGCACGATGATCCTTGCTTAGGTGGCGGCCTAGATGGGCGAATGCGTTCACGAAACTATAGTCATTTCGTCCAGTCATTTTGCCTCTCCGACTCCTGACCTAGAAACAAGGCAACAGTGGGTCGGCATGGCTTGTTCGGGACTGCACGTGCATTGATGGCTGAGTCGCGTGTACTATTGCCAGCCACCCATGTGCTTGTACTGTGGGAGCAGCAAGCAGGGGTTTCCAGCTCGGGGGCAGCGTTTCCATCCGGTGCATTGCAATTTCGCGTGCACTGGTCGGGCATCATTTGTACAATCGGTGCCCATTTCAAGAATACCAGGTAGGCGGGCGGCATGTGCGTGAAACTTGTTGGAGGCATGTCGCCACATTCGCCCTTGTTGCCACGGGCAAAAATGTGACAGTAATATGAAATTGAGACGCGGATCGAGTCAGGGGCTTTAATTTCGTAACCATGTTAAATTCTCTGATGACGGGAAACTTTTGTTTATGTATTGTAGATGTTTTTCTTCCTCAACCTGGTGACTGTACCCTGAAATCGGCACGATGGTCAATTTAGTCACTCACGGGCAAAACGTTCGCGAGTGACTAAATATCTAATTGTGAAGAGCAAATGTTTTGTGATAGGCTGAGCATCGACTGTACAGTTCGGTTTACTGTGGAAGCCCTCCTCCCAGTTTGCTTGTGCTGATCAGGGAGGTGGTGGTGACACTTCGGGTAAATTTCCAATCGCCCCGTGAAGCAGCCCTGTCCTGGGCACTCAAGTGGCACCCAAGTGGCAAACATGTCAACCACTACACGCAATCGCACAGCCTGCCCCGCCCCACCTTCCAGCTTCTGACCTTGACCGAGGCAAACCGAGTCTGGTGGCAGCCCAGACCAACCCAAACGGAACTGTACGGGCAAGCAGAACCGAGGCAGGTACGGATAGCGTTTTTGCTTGAACCAAACCAAATTCGAACCAAGAGGAACTTACCTGTCGACAAGGAGCGAGGTTCAGCCACCCTGGAACAACTTTCCTCGGTCTTGGCTGGCCTTTTTTCCAAGTTCTCCGCGACACTAGCGTTGTGTGAACTCCACAGTGGCCGAGTCAGATGTGTCAATTTGTGGAACACTTGTCTCCTAACACGCATAGTTTGTTGTGAAGCGAGCTGTCTGTCAACGAGCAAGCTTAGAATTCCACTCCGACTCGCGCGATGGGGGTGGTCCGTTAGTTGTTGAGTCCGCTCGATGGTCTGCATGTTAAGCACTTGATCAGTCCAGTAGTTGCCCGTAACTGCGTTTAGCTTGGGGGTATCATAGGTCGTCTTGGCTGGTGGTCACTGACTTGTAATCGTTGTACTTCACCTGCGGCTGGGATAGTTTTTGTTCTGATTTGAACCGATTTTTCGCTGATTCGGCTTTTTTTGCTAGCTGATCAGCTTCTTGTGTGCGCGTTCTTTTGGCGGTGTGCCCAGCCCGAGGGATCCCACGTTGCTGTCGTTAGCAAGCGACACTTGTAGCAGGCGACAGTCATTAATCGGCGACAAGCAGCAGCCTTTAACCCGCCAAAGTCGAACCAGACGAGAGCCGTTAACACGCGAGAAATCCTTGCCGTGGGAGAGTAGGTACAAGGCGTCAGTCGGGTCGAGGATGGTATTCCGGGATTTGAATCCCGTGCTGCACTACTCGTCGCTGCTGCGCCTCGCGCTGCCCTCCATTCTCCTCCAGAGCGGCGCGCCGCTCGCCATCACCTTCCAGACCGCGCTCCTCGGTCGCAAGTCCACGGAGATCGTCGCCGCATGGGCCATCGTCGCAAGTGAGTCGCAGAGAGTCGCATAGAGGAAGCAAGTGCTGCGGTTTGGTAGTAAGTTACCGTCAGGCGGACGAATGTCGCGGAAAGTGGGAGGCCTAGACGGGACGAGGATGGGGCGGAGGGGGAGGGGGGAGGGGGAGGAGGGGAGGGGGAGTGAGGGGAGGAGGTGCGCGGGAGAAAAGGAGGGACGTGGAGGCACATCATGCGTGGGGGTCGTGTGCGTTTCGTGTTGCTCGTACGCATGCGAGTGAGGAGCGTGCATTGATAAATGTCGTAACTCGTAGGCGTTTCGTTCCGTTTCGTGTCGCGCGCTTGCCCATGATGTGCGTGACCGGCTGCGTGGGACGCACCGCTTCCGTACGTACGTGCACTCGGAGGCGTCTGCTGCATCTCGCCTCGCAAGCAGTTTTCTTTGACTCGACTCTACTTAAATGTCGACTCCTCCGTAACTGAGCTTGGTTGGAGTTGACTGCACGTCGCAGATACGTTGGCTGTGTACCTCGAAGAAACGTTTTGCGTGCTTCGCAGATGCTTCCCGACGCGATCTCCGCCGTCTCTCTGACGCGCCTCGTAGCGTGCAACAGCGGCCTGTGGGAAGGAAATGTATGGCGCACCGCGGTCTTTAGGATCGAACCTCTAGCCACCACGCGCCGGTTGAGGCGTCTCAGAACCCAAAGACTTTATCACGGTATCAGGCATAGAGTCAGCACGCTCCGGGACCCTTTTACAGTTGGATCGGGTTACGAATCACGGAGGAGCAACCTGTCCGTTTTTACGTGGTCGGGGCTCTAGTTTTAGAACAGAATAAACCTGGGAGGACGAGTAGCAGATAGAGAGAGAAAGAGAGAGCGAGGAGGAGAGAGAGAATGGGGGAATGGAGGGGGTGGATTCACCCAATTCACTGACTTTCCCTTCTCTCTCCCCGCTGTTCCCCCATCCCTCGTGTTCCTTTGTGCCCTCTGTCTCCTTCTGATCAACTGCCACGTGTCTCTTCCTGGCTTCCCGCTGCCACATAATCGGCGACAGCCGCTACGAATGCGGCTACAGTCGTCTTCAACTTCCTCGTCGTCGGCGTCACTGCCAAGGTATGGCGCGCACAATCGAATCTGCGATTCCATTCTTTCCCTCCCCTTCCCTGCCCTCCCTCCTTGCTGCGCCCTTCTCTCTGAAGCAGTTTGGCTTGCATTCGGCTTGACGCGCTGGAATCGCTTGACGATTTTGAACCGTTTTGGCTTCCCCGTACACTCGCTCGTTTCCCCTACTCCCTCCAGTCCCGCCTCCCTCACCTTCTCCTCCCTCCTCCTTCCTCCCACCATCCTACGCCTCCTTCCCCCCGCTTTTTCCTTCCCCTCCCTTTCCCGCCAACCCCCCGCAGGTCACTAAGGTGGTGGCGGTGGGGGCATGGGCGCAGGTGGGCGCGCGCATCCGCCTGGCCTTGGGGATGGCGCTGGTGATGGGCATGGTGGCGGTGGGGTTGCTGCTGGCGCTGCAGCAGCCGCTCTGGCTGTTGCTGGCGGATACTCCCAAGGTGCTGCCCTACGCGCGCAGCTACTTCTATCTCAGAGTCATTGGCGTGCCGCCCCAGCTGCTCGTCATGTGCACCTCGGGGATACTGCAGGGCTACAAGGTACGTTCAATGCGGTTTAGTGCGGTGATCTTGGGTGCTGTTGCTGGCGGATACTCCCAAGGTGCTGCCCTACGCGCGCAGCTACTTTTACCTCCGAGTCATTGGCGTACCGCCCCAGCTGCTCGTCATGTGCACGTCCGGCATACTGCAAGGATACAAGGTACGGTCTAGTGCGGTTGAGAGCGGTTCTGGTGGGTGCTGCTGCTGGCGGAGACTCCCAAGGTGCTGCCCTACGCGCGCAGCTACTTCTATCTCAGAGTCATTGGCGTGCTTGTCATGTGCACCTCGGGGATCCTGCAGGGCTACAAGGTACGGTTTAGAGTGGTGGAAGGTGCGGACTGAGGGGCTCAAAGGGATTTATTTACAAGGTTCACTGTGTAGTACCGAGTGGGGCGCGGATGGTGCCCTACACACGCCCTTATCTCGTCGAATTTCCACACCCCCACACCCTGTGACTTTTGAGTCGACTCAAAAGTCACCTCATTTCCACACAACCACACCCTGTCCCCGCCCCTTCCGCTTCCTTCCACTTCCCTCAACCCCCCCTCAGAGGGTGAATCTAGTAGCGTGTCTGCAGGGCGGCAGGGTCGTGCAAGCCATGTGTGCCTCCTACAGCGCTCTCGATGCTGCAGCAGCAGGGTGGTGCAAGCCATGTGTGCCTCCTACAGCGCTCTCTTCTCTACGTCCTCATTTTGGGGGCTTGTCGGTGTCCGCCTGGCCACCATCCTCTCTCTCATCCCATTCCATCAAATCACACCCCCTTCTCCTCCGCTCCGCCCCTTCTCCCCCCCACCTCCTCCCGTTCTCGTCCACTTCTACCCCCACCCCCCCCACCCCCCCCGTTTTCCTTCAGCAGGTGAACCTAGTGGCATGTGTGCAGGGAGGTAGAGTGCTACTAGACGTGTGTGCCTTGCCTCCTACATCGCTCTCTATAAACTCGAGTGGGGGCTTGTCGGGCGTCGGCGTTGGCACCATCCTCGCCTCCCCCACTGTCGCCTCAACTCACACTTCCTCTCCCTTCTCCTCCCCTTTTCCTGCGCCCCTTTTCCTTCCCTTTCTCTGCTCCGTCTCTGCCCCTTCCGTTCCCCCCTTCCCCCACCCCCTCCCCATTCCTTCAGCGGGTGAACCTAGTGGCATGTCTGCAGGGCGGTAGAGTCTTGCTAGACGTCTTCGCCTCCTACGTGGCCCTTTACGTTCTCGACTGGGGCCTTGTCGGTGTTGGTCTCGGCACCATCCTCGCCTCCTCTACCATCGCCGCCGCCGCTTTTGTCTGCATCCTGCTGCTGCCGCCCGCCGAGGGGCGGCACAAGATCCATATCTTCACGCCGCTGCTGAGCTCCCTGTCTGGCCGGGCGGCAGGGGGGAAACGCGGTGGGGGGTGCTGGAGTCCCCGGGGGAATGGGATTGCTGGTGGTGGTGTTTTTGCTATTGGTGGTGGTGATGGGGAGGGAGAGGAGGCGTTGCACGTGCCGCTGCTGGATGAGCATGTGGGGGAGGGGGGGCAGCAGCAAAGTTGGCAGCAGAATGGGGGAAGGGCGGTAGGAGGGATGGTAGGAGGAGGGGAGGAGTTGACGGAGGAGGAGGAGAGGGTGAACGAGGTGTTGAATGAGAGCACGTGGAAGTTCATCTGGGATGGGCTCAGCACCATGCTGCGATCCGCGCTCGTGCAGGTACAGTACAGTACAATGTGATGCACTGCGGTACTGTAAGGTGCAGTTCGTTAGAATGGAAAACAACACAATCCGGGGCAGTACAGTGCGGCGTGGTGCAGTGCAGTCCGAGACAAGCATAATGCAGTGTAGTGTGTACAGGAGATGGCCTCAGCAGCATTTACTGTCGCCCGTGCTTTCTCCCTTCTGTTCCTTGTCCATTCGATTTCACCCATGCTCATGCAGCACAGGATGATCCACATCTGCATCCCTAGAGCGAGCCCCCTTGCCGGTCTCATCTCCCCTTCATCCCATCCCAATTCTCCAAGAATTGGGTGCATCACCCCAGGTGCTCATGCAGCACTGGATGATCCACATCTGCATCGCTCAAATAGTGATGCACCTCCCCTCTCACCTCCCCTTCCCTTGCACCTTCAATTCAACTCCAGGCGTCCTTCTTCCTAGTCCTCGCCTGTGCCACATCTCTCGCCTGTGCCACATCTCTCGGAATGCACACGGTGACGACCTTGGTGCTCATGCAGCTGTGGATGATCAACATCTACATTGCTCATACTGCTCCTTCTTCCCCATTCCCCCTTGTCACCCCCCCTGGCAACATCAACGCTGACAGGCATCGTTTTTCCTGGTCCTGGCCTGCGCAACCTCTCTTGGAATGCATGCGGTGGCAGCCCACCAGGTGCTCATGCAGCTGTGGATGATCAACATCTACATCGCAGACGGCTTCGCCACCGCCGGCACCATCGTCGCCAGCAGCGTCGCGGGGCACTTAGCTAAGAGCCGCACGCCCGCAGAGCACGCGATCCACTTAAGGGACCTGAGAGAGGCGTGCTGGAGGGTGCTGAATATGGGCGCGGTGGCGGGCGTGGCGATAGCTCTGGTGTACCTGGGGTGGCGCGAGCAGCTGATGGCGCTCTTCACGTTCGATGAGGGGACGAAGAAGGAATTGAGAGGCGCGTGGCTGTACCTGGCTCTCATCCAGCCGCTCAATTCCATTGTAAGGCTCCCCCTTACTGCCTCTCACTGCCAGGGTAAGGTGGGTGAGTTGGGCTGTGGGACCTAAGAAAAGCCTGCTGGAGGGTGCTGAACATGGGGGTGGTGGCGGGCGTGGCGATAGCTCTGGTGTACCTGGGGTGGCGGGAGCAGCTCATGGGTCTCTTCACGTTTGATGAAGGGACGAAGAAGGAATTGAGGGGCGCGTGGCTGTACCTGGCTCTCATCCAGCCGCTCAACTCCATTGTAAGCCGCCTTCCCTGCATGTATTTCCCCTCCCCCCACCCCCGTTTTGATTTGAGCCGCTCACGGCCTGGTAAGGTGGGTGGGGCGATGGCTCTGGTATACTTGGGGTGGCGCGAGCAGCTGATGGCACTGTTCACGTTTGACAAAGGGGACGAAGCAGGAGCTCAGAGGCGCGTGGCTGTACCGGGCTCTCATTCAGCCGCTCAACTGCATTGTAAGGCGCTTGCTTGTGCTGTTTCCCCTCTTTGAGCCCTAAGTGCCTTGTCCGTAAGGTGTCTGGGTTGGGGTTGCGGGGACAAGTTTGGGGTGTCTGCTGGCTCCCTTGGCGGCCCCCCTTCGCCCTCCTTCACCTCCTTCCAAAAACCAACAGGTGTTTGTGTACGACAGGTGGATCTACGCAGCGCAGGCCTTCTCCTACATGGCAGCCTTCCTCACCATCAGCTTCCTAGTGCCCCGATCCCTTGCCCCCCCTACTTGGCGCCCCCTCCATCCCCCAACTCTCTCCCACCAACAACATGTGTTTGTGTACAACGAGTTGATAAACGTAGCGCAGGCCTTCTCCTACATGGCAGCCTTCCTCACCATCAGCTTCCTAGTGCCCTGATCCTTTGCCCCCCCTACTTGGCGCCCCCTCCATCCCCCAACTCTCCCCCACCACCAACATGTGTTTGTGTACGACGGGTTGATAAACATAGCGCAGGCCTTCTCCTATATGGCCGCCTTCCTAACGATCGGCTTCCCTCCCTTGTCCCCCTCACCTCCTCACCTTCCCCCCCGCCTCCCACCACCAACAGGTGTTTGTGTACGACGGGTTGATCTACGCAGCGCAGGCTTTCTCCTACATGGCAGCCTTCCTAACCATCGGCTTCTTCGCCCTCTTCCTGCCCTGCATCGGTGCGTTCCCTTCATTGCTGCCCGCTTTCCTGCATCCATGGGTTTTTTAGGCTCTCTAAAGTAGACCATCGGCTTCTTCGCCCTCTTCCTGCCCTGCATTGGTGCATCACCTCCCCTGTATCCGTTCATCGCCCCTTTGTTTGCATCCCGTCCATGCTTGTGTTCAATCCCTTCCTGTTGACCTTGTGTTGCTGATGGGTTGTCCCCCAACGTTTCTCCCCTCGATGCTGAGATTCGAGACGTCATTTACTCTTTTAACAAATGGAACGTCCCCCCAACCCTTCTCCTCTCGGTACAGCACACTCCCTGCCAGTCCAGACCCCACTCCCCATACCCCACTCCCACTCCACACTCCCGGCATCTTCCTTCCGGTTCCCCACTTCCCACTTCCTGCTCCTTTCCTGCTCCTTTGTCCTATGGTGGCAGTATAGGGCACTAAAGCATTCATGATCACTCGCTCCCCTTTCTCAACCCCTCCCCCCCCCTTTCTCAACCCCTCCCCTTATCCCCCCCTCCCTCACTCTCCCTTTTCCCGTCTCCCTCCCATGCAGCATTAGCGCATTTTTATTTCAAGACGCTGGTGGCGGCATGGGGTGCCAAGGGAGTGTTGAATGCGGTGCGCTTCTTTGTGGCGGGCTACAAGATCCACTTCGACTTCCTCTGCCCAAAAACGAAGTTCCCCCCCTCAAACCGCTTCACCGCTCCCAACTCCTCCGCTTCCCCCGCTGCTGCTCCTAGAACCGCTCTGAACCACTCAGCACCTGCTGCTTTCTCTTCCTGGGTGAATTCGCCCCATGTTGCATCATCCTCCTCGTCCTTGTCCTCTTCCTCTGTTAGTGGATTGAAATGGGTGGCGCCAGGGTATGTTGCTCCTCCGCATGTACCTGCCGGCCAGTCAGTGCACAGAAGCCGAGGGGGAGGGTGTGAGTGTGACTGTAGTGGTGTCCGTGATTGTGTGCGAGGGTGCAAAAGTGGGCTTCGGAGTGTGGCAGAGGAAGATGAGACTGCAGCAACAGCATGTGAGGCGGAGGACGTTTTGTTGAGGCCGTGTTCTGGTAGAGGGCTGTTGCCACCGTTCCCGGTTCTTAAAACGAAACGGGAGGAGCTAGACGGTGCGACGCACGCACAGTTGTAACGAGCTTTGGTGATGGTAGATTTTGGGCTTGGGGACTGGAATCTATTTGCTGGTGGTTTCAGGTAGGCTTATTTCAGAGTCAGTACAATCCGCTGACCCTGGTAGTGCAACATACTGTATGTTTGGGGTGTTATGTTCAAGTTTGTGTATATATTATAACCTGAACCATGTGTACCTGAAGGAAATCGGGCATTGGGACATGCAGTTCCATGGGGCCCACGCAGAATTTGTTTTGGCACATCCGTTATTCATGAACCTTCCAGCATAAACATTCCAGCTCGATAACCTAGGACAGAATATCGACGTGTTGCGTCACAAGGATTGGGTCGACCTTCCCCCGACTCATCATTCTAGGAAGGCTGCATCGCGGGTCTAGCCGACCAGGTCGAGCCAACCAGACCCGGTTGGGTCTGCCCGACCTGGGTCGACCAGGTCGGCCGAACCAGGCCAACCAGACCCAACCCAACCGAGCTGGAGCAGGTTACCGCAGCCTGCGAACTCGGTTGTTCTCGCGCAAATGTCGCCTTAATCTCGCATTGATGGCGAGTGTCTTTCCCTCCCTACCAATGCTTCTATGGGGTGGGGTGTGGTTATCAGGACAGCACTGGTCCTTTGCAACACTCCAGAGCGGGGGGGATTCATTGCCTGGGCATGGGCGGTCATTGCGATGGCTTGCGAATGCAGTTTGAGTAACCCAAAGTGGGCGACATGGTGGAGATCGCCACGAATTGCTCCGTCCAACTCCCCCTCGCGCGGCACTTGCGTTCCCATTACGTCGAGGATGCACAGAAAGCCTCGGGAAAGTTCTCAATTTCCCGAGTCGCGTTTCCGAAGTTCTGGTCGGGTTGGGTCTAGCCGACCAGGTCGGGCCAACCCAACCCAATCCTTGTGGGTGGCAACACGTGGTAAGGCGGTTTAGAACAGTATCATGTGGTAGATTAAATCCATCAATTTCTACCCTCCTTCCCAACCTCCCACCCACACCCATCACCCCCCTAGACGGAATTTTCAGCAACATGCAAACGCAGAACATCTCCCGCACATCGCGGCACCACCACCGCTCAGCACTTCCGCTGGTTGGTGGGCACTACAGTGCGATCTTGTTCCTATGTTCGGAGGAACACCCGCACTGCAAAAAAAACAATTCGTGCTTGAACTTTGCTCGAACACAAGCCAATGCAATTTGGGATGTTCAGGGCTGTCGATTGGTTTGGAGCCAGAACTTGAGAGGCTGAGGTGCCCCAAAAGTTGCCCTGAAATTTACGGGCTGAGAGCCAACCTGGCACTTCCAATCAGGGCTACCAAATTTTCTGCACTTTTGCTAAGGAAAACCTACATCTCTTCGGGTCCTATCCTAGGCAACTACTAAGAGCCAGCTAGGCAATAGTCTGAGGTACGAAACATGTCGATGGATTTGACGGGGATGGGAAAAGGAAGTAGGGGAGTGGCTGGGAGGAGGTTGGGGGACTGGTGAGCGAATGGGAGGGAGGGAAGTATTAGTATGGGACGATAAGGGCTAGCCACGGGATCTGCACTTGAAATCCGGGTTAGGCCCACAACCAGCACTTTGCGGGAAAGAGCTGCCCTCAAAGCCAGCCCTTAAACTTCGGAACCTGGGCCAAACCCAGCCCTTAATGTTCAGGGCATTAAGGGAATTTGCCCTTGAATCGTCAGCCCTGATTCCGTCCCCTTGATTCACTTGCTTGTGGAGTGCGACTGCAATGAGACTAGCCATACGATACAGAAGTTCGCGTGCAGACGCAACCGGTGTCCATTTCGTGATTTGATAAAAATCTTCACGGTTGAGATTATCGGGGTGATTAGGCGTTCAGCATGAGAAACACACCAATAGACGCTCGGTTGTCCAAGCTCATCAGGAACACAATTATAGTTGGTTCCCGAATCCAGACGACGCACGACACCAGCAAGCGACACGATACCGCGATGCGGTGTCGATTCAGCCAGTTCAGCAGCTGGAACTACGGATCGCACACATCGATAATTGTGGCTGTGTATTAAAGTGGGTCCGCAGGAGCTCATGGACGCAACAATCTGTTTTCCTCTCTTTTCCTAGTAGGCTAAGGTGACTGTGACTACTAGCACCGCTCCTAACCATGGCGTCTAAGGTGAACCTCGTCTTGGCGTCGAGCCGGATTACTCTCATCGCCAGCTTCATCGCCGCCTTTATACTAATGCCTTCTGGGTAGGCTTTCAGACGCTGAGAGAACCTTTCAACGCCGCGCTTTCTCCTATGTTCGCAAGAACCGCGATGCGCCATGACGGATCAGATCCGACCGCAGTTGTTCGTTTCAGCCACCAGCATCAGCTCTTCCCGACTGATCAATTAGTAAAGATTTAATTACATTCCCTTATTTTGTGTTTCAGGTGCTGGGCTCAGAGCACCATGAGCACGACTGTCCACAGCGACTTCTTCGAAGGCGACGTGCGCATCGTTGTGGGTCCCAACCGTAACCAGATCCGCGTGCAGGTTCGTTCGTTCGCTCGCTCTTTCGTTCGTCTTCGTTTTCGATCGATCGTTCGCTCGTTCGTGTTCGTCGTACGTACGTACGAACGAACGTGCTGCATTGCCATCCTCGAGCCCTCGTCACAATGTGCCTACGTCCAATCGTCCTGCTTAAGCCTATCTACGTGTATTAGTTCACCCGTCCACGCGGTTTACCCTTTTGGCTGTTCCGATCGCTATTTCTGTTTGCAAATTTTCCGGTGCAGGCGGACTTGCCGGGCTGGGCTAAGTCGGTCACACCCAAGAAGGAGTATCTCGTGGAAACGTACCCTTTTCCGTCTAGTGAGTAACAGAAAGAAAGCCGAAAAGGAAAATCACGCAGACAAGCAAAGAAAAGAAAAGAATAAAAAGGGAGAAAAGGATCACTTTCAAGAATGCTTAGAATATGGGCTCCAGTGAGAGCCAGCATTGCCGCCTGTCGCAATCCCCCGCACAGCACCCTGGAAAATACTCCCTTGATTTCACCTGCTCCCCTCTCTCCATCACCCCCTCTTCCTGCCTTCCCCTACCAGACAGCAATTATTTCAGCCCGTCTATTCCTCAACTTATTCTTCATCCTACCTTGTTTTCCGCGTGCCTGATTCCGCCTGTCTGCATGCAGACTTCTCCTCCCTCACGGACGTGAAGCACCTCATTATGACCTTCGCCCCTTCCAACTGCTACCCCATCTGTGAGTGTGAAGTGAACACCTCATGCCTCCTCAGAACCGATCTTCTCTTAAAACCCAGGGTCCACAGGTTTCTTAGGTAGGAAGGTTGGTTGGACTTAGTGACGAAACCAAAGGTAGGAAGCTTGGTTGGACTTTGTAACCCAACCAAAGGTAGGAAGGATGAGGCAACTACGGGAAACTTGAGCACGTCGTCATCAAGACCCTCAGCCCTTTCTCCTGCTGTCCCATCTGTTGTGGATGTGAAGCCCTTCCACGGGGCGTTGTTTTTTTCGCCACACGTTGGCCCCACGTTTTATACATGCACTTGAATGTTGTCAGCAATACTTATGCCATGTAGGTAGTATCGAGTTAACTAATGTCAACGTTACTGAAATCCCAGCAAAAATCAAGTCACACCTCCATCTCGCACTTTTTGCCCTCACCTCTCAAGCAACACCCTAACTTCCAATTCCTACACCCTCTCTCGCCCGCCTCCTTCCTCTGCAGACAACACCACCAACGTGGCCGTCGAACAAGCCGTTCCCGCATACCTCGACTCAGGCACGGACATCTGCCTCTCCTGCTACGTCTACCTCACCTTCTCCTTCCTCGATGTCGACACGGCCAGCCAGATCGGCAGCGAGTGCACTGAAACGGATAATGGGAAGCTGCGCGGTTACATCTGCTCCACGGACGAGGGGGATGACGTCACGGTGGCGCAGGCGTTTGGGAGTCCGCCGGTGGTGAATGGCGGCGGGACGTCGGTGGGGTTTCTCTACACGGAGATGTTTGTGCGCCAGCCCGCTGGCTCCACCATGCGCCTCCCCTCCATCCGCGTGGATCCCCTGTGAGTACCGATGGTGCTTTCGTATTCTGCAGTCTGCATTTTTCTCGTTTCTGTTGGCTTAAGTAGAACCCTCTGGTCCTCTGGCAGTGTTTTGCGCGCTTGGTATTGGTTGGGATTGCATGGATCAGCGTTTCTCTCTGCGTTTCCTTGCGTGTGTGTGCACGTGTGTACATGTGCTGCATCTGTACATGTGTGTATGGTTGCATTCGTGCCATGGATGCATCCCACCAGGGCTATGAAGGGAATCGGGTACATCATGGTGCCTTCCAAGGGACCCACTCCTCTCCCTGGGACTTTTGACTCCATGCCCTTCATTGCAGGCAACGGCAGCAAGGTGAGGGACCAGAGAAGCCAGGAATTGCTAAAGCAGCACTGAATCTTCTGTGCCTCTTTTGCACTTCACTTCACATATTATCACTTCTCTCCACAACCACTCAATTCCACACAAAACCGTATGTGACAACATCTTTTTTTTGGCCCCTTATATATTACCATATTTCCTCTTTTTTCTCATCAAGCTTTCTCAACTCCACTCAAAATCTTGCGACCCCCCTTTGTCCTTCCCTCCTCATCCACACCCACCAGGCTGTAGGCATTGGTCTAGTGTTCCCAATCACCCTGATCACTCAGGCATCTCTCGCAACTACCCCGTTTAGCAGCAACACACAGCAAACAGCCACGCCCACAGCTTTCCCTGCGCTCTCCATGAGTGCTCCTGCCAACCAGTCGCTCACTCTCAATGCCTCCATCGTGCCGCCAGCTGCTACCCCTGCTGCTGCCACCCCATACAACATCACGTTCTCCATCAGCAAGAATGCGATTTCGGTAAGTGTTTTGTGTTCTTGACCTTGAAGAAGCTCACAGAAAGCCAGGTGGATATTGATGGTTTGTTGCTAAGCGTGTATTTTATGTGCGTTTTTTGCTTTCCTTTTGCAGAGACCAAAGGCATCCTGGATGATGGTGACGTTTGCACTGCTCGTCCTGCTGCCTGTCCTGTAGTCCCGTGATCCAACCACACGTTCATGCAGGATGACATTATTCTGAGTGTGGTACTAAATTGTATACGCAGAGCTCTTCTAGATCCATGCACCAAGTCTTCAAAAGGTTGAAAGTTACATGTTAGTTGTGTCCCCCAGGAAGCATGCATGAAGGACAGGCAGGCGTGTGCTAGATCTGGTGGAGGTGATGTTTGCACTGTCCAGTTTCTATCTTGTAGCGTATCGGCTGAGCATATGCTCATGCAGGGCAAACCTCAGGAGAGCTTATCCAAACTGCGGATTATCAGTCCCCTAGGTCTATAAAGCGGTGTGTAAATTCTCAGCACTTCGAGATACCGCATGACTTAGTAATGGGGAACGTAAGGATCTGGGCGGCAACCTCAGCCTGTTGGGGTGAGCTCTGTACATTGGGGAAGGGGGAAACCGCGGCTTTGCTCTGGAACACACGTTACAGTTCATGAAGGTGTGTTCTGGCATGGCACCTACTCCTTGTAGATGCGCTTCCTCGTATCACGGTGCATCCGGACGGGATTTCTGGCTGAGTGAGTGGACAGAACATCTTCCGCACGGCGCGGCACCACCGATGTTCCAGATTGCTGGATCGTGTGCGCTACAGTGCGATGCGCTTAGTGTCCGATGACGTCCGGCACCCGAACCACACCAACCAAAAAACCCAACCGTTAGGTTCGGTGTGAACCCGAGAGCTCACCCGCTGGCACCAGCCAGTGACACCCCTGTCCTGTCCCCGCGTCACGGCCGTCAGCTCAGGAGGCGTTGGATCAATAGGTCGCATCGCACACGTCGAAAATCGTGGCTGACGAGTACGAGTCACTATGAAAAGTGGGTCCGCGGCTGCAGATAATTGCAACCATCTGCTTCCTTTCTCCCACTGATCTTGGCAACTAGTCACAGTCACATTTCTCACTGTGACTAGCACCACGATGGCTTCAGCTATGGCTTCGATGGCGAAGCTCGCGTCAGCGTCGGGCCGCATTACTCTCCTCGCCAGTTTCATCGCCGCCTCTGCGCTGATCCCTTCTGGGTAGGCCTTCCGAGATCACTTAGGGACCTTTTCGAATCTTCATTTTACTTGCAAGCGATTCGACGTGCCATGACGATCGTAACCGCTGTTATCATTCAACGATCTGATAGTATCAGTCTCTTCCCACCGATCAACACATTACTGATTTGCATACACGTGTCAGGTGTTGGGCTCAGAGCACCATGAGCACGACTTTCCACAGCAACTTCCTCGAAGGCGACATCCGTGTCGTCGTGGGACCCAACCGTAACCAGATCCGCGTGCAGGTTCGTTCGTTCGTTCCTTCGTTCGTCGGTCGCTCTTTCGTTGTTCGTTCGTGTTCGTGCTCGTTCTCTCGAGCCGTGTCCGCAGTGATGCACCTACGTCCTGACATCCAAACGCCCTGCTTTTTCTCTACCTACATGTATAGCTCAGGAGTGCACGCGTTTTCCCCGTTTGTCGTCGTGATCGCCGCTACAGATGCAATTTTCCCCTGCAGGCCTATATGCCGGACTGGGCTAAGGCGGTCACCCCCAAGGAGGAGTACATTGTGGAAACTTACCCTTTCCCGTCCAGTGAGTGACAGTAACAGTAAAAGTAAAAGCCAAGAAACGAAGATGGTGTTTTCATAAGTGGCAGCGTGTGGGCTCCATCCATGAGTGGCATTGCCGCCTTTTAGAATGTAATTCCCTCTCCATACCACCCTCCTTCCCTCTCCTCATCACCCCCTCTTCCAACCTTCCCCTACCACGCGTTTTTTCCGTTTCATTCTGTTTCTTCCTTGTGTTCCGCTTGCCTGCTTTCGCCTTTTGCCTGTCTGCATGCAGACTTCTCCTCTCTCACGGACGTGAAGCACGCCATTTTGACCTTCGCCCCCTCCAACTGCTACCCTATCTGTGAGTGTAAAGTGAAGACCCCATCTGTCCCCAAACTACGTGGGCCATGTATGCTATTGACTGTTGTCAGCAATTTTTATGCCATGTGTGCACTTGATTGTGTCAGTGACTGAACTCTCATCGAGAATCAAACCATAACCGTCTCCCTCAGTTATCGCAGCTGCCTCACACAGTTATCCCAACGTTCAAATTTCCCACTCTCGCCCCCATCCTCGCACTGTGCAGACAACGGCACCAAAGTGACAGAGGAGCAGGCTATTCCCGCTTACCTCGCGTCAGGCCCCGACTTCTGCCTCTCCTGCTACGTCTACCTCACCTTCTCCCTCCTCGATGTCGACACGGCCAGCCAGATCGGCAGTGAATGCACTGAGACGAACAATGGAAAACTTCGCGGGTACATCTGCTCCACGGACGAGGGGGATGACGTCACGGTGGCGCAGGCGTTTGGGAGTCCGCCGGTGGTGAATGGCGGCGGGACGTCGGTGGGGTTTCTCTACACGGAGATGTTTGTGCGCCAGCCCGCTGGCTCCACCATGCGCCTCCCCTCCATCCGCGTCGACCCCCTGTGAGTACCGATAGTAGCCCTCTTGTCGTCTGCTCTGCGTCTGTGTGCGGATCAATCCCCTGTGCGTATCTAAAAGGGTCTCCAATTTTATGCGAGTTCGTCTTATTTGGTGATGTCAACAGTGCTCTCTGGTTCCTGCTTTTCTGTAACGTCGCGCTCCCCTCATACTTCCTCTTGTGCATGTGTGGATGGTTAAATGGCTGCATGACTGCTATCCTACCAGGGCCATGAAGGGCATTGGGTACATCATGGTGCCATCCAAGGGACCCACTCCTCTCCCTGGAACCTTTGATGCCATGCCTTTCATCGCAGGCAACGACAGCAAGGTGAGGGACGCTCAATATAACTTGCATCTCGTGCAAAATCAGCATTGAGAATCTTGAAGGCTCAATGCGAGAAAGTCTGCAGCAAAAGGCTGCAATGGCAAAAGCAGCACTAACATTTACGCGCACTTCTCTCCGCCTGCTCCATTACCTGTCATTTTCGCTCATCCAATCCCCTCAATTCCATTCAATAACCCGCACGCCCTCATTACCTGTGCACACCCTCCCTTCTTCCCCCCATGCCCTCCAGTCTGTCGGCGTCGGTCTAGTGTTCCCAATCACCCTGATGACTCAGGCGTCGCTCGCAACTACCCCGTTCAGCAGCAACACAGTGCAGACGGTTACACCCACCGCCTTCCCTGCGCTCTCCATGAGTGCTCCTGCTAACCAGTCCCTCACTGTCAATGCCAGCATCATCCCCCCTCCTGCCGCTGGTGCTGCTGCTGGTGCTGCTCCCTCCTCGTACAACATCTCTCTCTCCATCAGCAAGGACGCACTCCCGGTACGTGGCTCTTGTGGGGACTAACCTGTTTTTCTTATTACCGTATTTTCAAAGCCAGTTATGTTCTATGGTGTCATTTTTCTTTATCGCGTGGATTGCTCCTGAGCAGTTCTGTTATTTCTGCTCTTGTGTGTGCAGAAATCCACTGTCCGGGCAGCTGCTGGCTGGGGTGTAACCCTGATGTCAGTGATCTTCGCTCTCCTCCCCCTCCTGCCAGTCCTGTAGTTCCATGGCCGACCAGTTCCCATGTAGGTTGATGCACAGCACATGCAACACCGTGGTTACACGGGATGAGCAGTGTATGCGATTTTTTAAGAGCCAGCTGTCGTTCCATGATTGGAGCATTTGGTCAGGCAGGGCTTCATGTGCATGCTCTGTTACCACACTTGCAAAGTGACGAAGAAAGTTCCTAGGCAACACAGTCTGGCACCGTCTCAGAAGACCAAAGAAAATCTGAAAGGAAATTCAAGAAGCACCTAGTATTGACTTGCTTATGAACTGATTTTCTTCCGGATCCATCTGAGCAGAGACCAGCAAACGGACGAGAACCCCAGCAGCAGCACCGCCAACCCAAGCGCCTGCTGCAGGGGAAGTGTGACAAGCAGGTTCACGAGCACCCCTGCAAGCATCACACCAGCCAGGTTCGCAGTCAGCGCCTCCCAAAACGGCATCCCGAGAATGTACGCACCGATCGCCCCCGACCATGCTCCGGTGCCGGGCAGGGGGACGGCGACGAAGAGAGCGAGGCCGAGCCACTGGAACTCGGCGATGGGGGCCGCCTTGGCCCGGGAGTGCTCGAGGAAGGAGTTGAGGAGGGCTTTCAGGGAAGGGTTGATGCGGGCGAGAGTGGTGGTGGCTGGCCCGAGGAGAGTGAGGAGGAACGGCACTGGCACCATGTTGCTGTGGCGGGAGGACAGGTAGGGTACAGGGGGAGAGGGAGGGGCTAGGATGGTGCTGACAGAACGGATCATGTTCTTCAACCAAATCTGCCCCGTTTTTACTAGTGCTGAGAGATGAATTGTGTATGTATTGATGCATTTCTTCCTTATAATTTTGTTTTTGTAGCTCACCCGAGGACGGCAAGAGAGGAAGCTACTAACGGCTCCATGCCCATCCAGTAGGCGACAGGTATGGCGCCTCTTAACTCCACCACCGGCAGCGACGCGATGAAGGTCACGATCGCCGCGTCCGGCCAATGCGACTCGCGCAGCGCCGCCGCGACGCGCAACCCAAGACCCGACTTGGCTATGGATGTCGCCGCGCCAGCCGCGGCTCCACTTGCGGCGGTTGCTGCAGCGGAGGGGTCGGAGGCTAGTGCGGGGAATGGGGTAATGAGGGAGAGGAAGAGCGGAAAAAGCGCCGTGGCGGCGACGAGGAGGATCGCGGGAAGGGCGGAAGGCAGCGTCGGAAGCGGAAGGCGGGAGTCTAAGGGGGAGTTCTGATGTCTTTGCGAGAAACGGGGGGGCGCAGCATCAACACTGTTGGAGGTGGGGATCTGAAGCGGGACGCTCTCTAAATGAGAGATTTCATTGTCAGCGCTCGCGCCGTTTCTGTCTGGAAAGGCGGCCGCAGCAGCGGAGGAGGATACTACGGGCGTGACTAGTCTTCTCGCGAAAAACGAGGCATGGCTTTGTGGCTGACGTGGCGACTGGAGCCGTTTAGATGGAACGAGCGCGCGGCGGGGAGAGAGTGCGCATTTGGCAGAAAGCGGAGGGGTTGAGCGGTATCGCTTCGCAGACGACAAATTGGATAATGCGCATTGGGAGGAAAGGGAAGATGCAGCAAGCGATCTCGCCCCTGCCGCAATTGCCGCCATGCTTGCAGAGGTGACGCCCGCGTCTAGTTACCAGCACGGCGACGTGTGAGAGCTATGGTCCAGAAGTGATTGTTTTGGGAGGGAGGGAGGTGGAGGCAGGAAGACGCACTATTGATCACCTCATAACCCTACCCAAACTCTGATATTTCCACAAAGCCGCATTCAAACGTTCATAACCCTACGGAACCGCACTAGAGTGAACAACAGTAAGGTCGAAGCCTGGGGACGTAGGGATTCCACTTCTGCAGTGAGAGGCAAGTGCAAACAGGCGAACGTCGCTACTGGCGAAACAGAATTCCACGACCATGGTTACCCGTTTCAGGTCACTGGTTCCGTCAAACTCTTACGTTCTGGGAGTGTAACATACGTGCTTGTGTGACAGCGAATACTGTGTACAACGGAGACTGCGTTTCCTGATTCAGAGCTTTGGGGAATGCCTTCTCCCTACCAGTGCAGTCCAATGATCAAATCTTAGCAGTCAGTCACTCAGGACTAAATGTTTTTCGCTCGTTGCATGCTGGCCGACCCACGCACATAGATTGCATACCGTCACATCAACCGAAGACATACATCGTTCCTGCTCTCTTTCCCCAGTGCTTTGTCCTACTTACTGTTACGGCCCATCCAACCATCATCCTTCGAGGTCGCTCTTTCCATTGATACTCGCGGCTGGCCCATAGCATCCCATCCCATTCACGCTGCGCCAGTGTGACTACACTCGTCTTTTCCGAACATCAGACTCGAAGGCTCTGAAAGCAGCTGTAGAGAAACATTTACAATCAGCGCATTAGTCGGTCGAGCGGCGATGGTGCTACTCCTTATCTCCATCCGATGCGAGCTAGAGAATCTGACCAACCTTCGGCCTGCGTCAGACGATTTCACATACTACATGAAACTCAGGTGAGTTTCCCTCAGTCACGGGACTTTTAGCACTTGCTAGAAACAAAATCTCGCCCATGGCGGTCAAGTGAAAGCCTTCAAAGTCCTGGTTAGCTTCAATCTGGGCGCATTACATGCTCTTTGAATTCGTTCGTAACTTTGCTCACCGTATGAAGGCTAGGTTATTTGGGTACTTTTACAAGGCTTGGATGTGTCACGGAGGTACAACAGACACTGGAAAGCAATGATTCGTGATTTCCGGAACCACCAACAGTCTCCCATTGACAGCATAACGACAGAGAAAAGCTGCTGACACCAACCTCATGCTGTTGTAATAAGAGGCGTGTACCTTCCCAGGGGTGGTATTTCAAGGCAAGTTAAACCTTGAATTCCTGTTATTTGACATTTTTTTTGTTGTTGTTGATTTTCAGATGTTCCTGTGGGGAAGTAAGTGAGAAAGAGTCGTCGGTGACAAAAGGGGAGGAGTACGAGATGAAAGGCAGCCGAGGCACTGCAAATCTCGTTCAGAAGGTAGCAGACAATATTTCCTGTTTGTTCGTTCCTCAAGTCATGCACTGAGGAGTATAATCAGACTCTGTCAGTCGACTAGGAAACCTTCTTTTAATATTCCCGAATTGTTTTAGCAATACACTTCATGTTGTGCAGTTTTCCTCTTTTCCAACTCTCCTCGCCCCTCAACCTGTTCACCCATCCCGTCCTCGCCTCCCCAATATGCGCACCTACAGTGTAATTTCTGCAGCCGTGTGGGCTCTATTTCATTGGTAGAAGGGCATGGTAAACCCTTTACGGCAGAAGATTGTGAGAACAGGAAGTTTGTCCCTTTAGTATGCCTGGACTGCAGAGGAATGGAGCCGGTGGAGTTTATTCCCAAGGACGGCTGGCAGGCGGAGGGGGCAGAGTCTGGTACCAAGTTTGAAGACATTGATTTGAGCGATAAGGAGTTTTCGGATTACGACGAGAAGGCAGGAGAGTCGGTGAGCATTCTCAACATTGAGTCTCAAATAAAGGTGACGAAGAAGTAGTTTCAAGAGCAAGCTGGTCTCAAATAGTTCACCAATCCTGGCTTGTTAGGCATCTGCCTGATAAGTAGGTGATATTTTGTGTGACCATAGATGCTGCAACAAGAGAAAGTGTGATTAGTAACATGTACTTTTTCTACCAGCCTCGGGCTTGAACATTTTTTAACAGAGGACTACTTTGTTACGTTCTGCCGCTCTTGGGATAGGTTTGAAATCTTTTCTTCTCACGCGGATAGACTGTTGTGGACGCGCAAATGGCCGCTCCGCCCATGCCATCACTCTCTGAGAGGGCAACAGTTTTTCCCCGTTTCACCGTGAGGATACACTAAAACAACGGGGAGGCTATTTTTTCAGCTTATTTGCTTGTTCTAGTCGGAATTTATAGCACAAATGCTGAAAAGAAACGTAAGTTCATGCCTTTTTAGTTGCCCGTTATCCACCTTGAATGCGGTTCCGCATTTCGGCTTTTGTGCTGCTGCAGCAATTCCTCCAACACAAATTCAGGTCCCTCCCATCCCATCAGCCTAGTCGAGACCAGACAAGAGCCGCCATGGTACACCCCAAGCATTCACTCGCTGGTCCAGTGATCTTGACCGACAGATGCCTTCATCGCCTTCGTCTAGCTTCACTTTCCCATTTCCCTTTTTGCAGATGCTTCCCGCTTTATCCCTTTATTTCCTCCATTGCTGGAGAGCAGATTCTTCCTTTTCGCACATGGAGATCTGCCCTGGTGGCGGGTGTTCGTGAAGGCAACGGAGGGTCTCACCCATATTCATGAACCTCCGTCCTCCCTGTAACCCTATGAGAGAGCTCTCCGGAATCAGCAGTACTTAATCTCGTTGCCGAGCACTTCGCGATCATTTGGCGCTGCTCCGAAGGCCTGCATTTCACCTGCATTGCAATCTTTCTTCTCGCGGCGCGTCCATCAGCCATCCGGCGAGCCGCCGCCGGACGGCCGCTGCTGTCCACTGCTGTCGCGGCTAACTAATCTCCGCTGGAGTTGCCGTACCTGCGTTCCTAACAAGACTGACTTCGCATCCCGAAGCTCGTTAACATGCCACCTAGTTACTTCCGCCTCCTCCACCTCCTCCTGCTCCCCCTCCTCTTCGCCGCACAATGCGGCGTCCCTCTGCCGGCGCAGTCCGCCGCAACTGCCGGCGCGATGGATCCCCTGCGGGAGGGCTTTGATTGGCTGCTGCATGAGCTCGGCGGAGCGGACGCGGACGAGTTTGCCGCGGGCGGAGGGGACGGCGCAGGCGCGGGGAGCGCTGCACCGATGGACGGAAGCATCGAGGCTTCGCTGGAGGAGTCCGGGTTCGCGGAGCTGCTGACTTGGCTGCGCGAGAATGGCGCGGAAGGAGACGCGCTGACCGGAAAAAACCTCAAGGTGAAAAATGTCGCGATCATTCAATGAACCTTAAAATTAAAGGTGATGAATCCGCAACCATCAATGCTACATTGTCAAACATGAATATGCGACCATCGATATTATATCGAACTCAAAAAAGTCTCACACATCGAAACTAACATTGCACTTTTATTTTTATTTTTTGGGCTATTGTGTTGAACATTGAGGTGGAATGCTGATAGAACATTCCTTCCTGAGCGGATACTTTTTCGGCATGCGCTGGCATGGGTTATGCAGTCTTTCGTGTAGATAAATTCCGTCTACATACTTTTGATTGAGAATGAGAGCGTCATTAAGAATGCAGGGTGTGTACTAGAGCATATGCTAGCACGGATTGTGCCAGCCATGTCCAAGATTTCTGCGTACGAGTCTACAATGCTGAAATTTCTTGTGACGCATTCACGATTTACATCTCAAATTTCCCGTTTCTTCGTTCTAGATTTTTTTCCACGCATGGCTTTGATTTTTTTTTCAGACGCTAGTGTCAGATTAAATGCTCTTAAAATGGTGTGAACGAACGTCTGTACGCCGTGTATCAAGCATCTACCTTTTTCGACTGTTCCATCAAGCCTGCTACCTTGTTCCTATTCTGCTCGCACGACCCAACCTTGCAGCTGAAGGTGTATAAATTGGAGATTCCAGACGACTCTGGCTCGAACACTACGACTGAAGACTCTGGGATTAAGGAGGTGGGGGATGGTGCGATGGAAGAGAAGGAGGTGAAGGAGAAGGAGAAAAAGAAAGAGGAGAAAAAGAAAGCTGTGAAGAAAAAAGTGGTGAAGAAGAAAGCGTATGATGACTATTACGATGATGAAGATGAGGAAGAGGAAGAAGAGGAGGAAGAGGAGGTGGACGATGATGAGGAAGAGGATGAGAAGAGCGGAGGCGCAGCAGGCGGTGAAAAGGAGAAGCCGAAGAAGTTCCGGTGAGTGGAAGGCCTTGGATGTTCGGTTTCTGAGTTCAGGGCCTTACAATGCAGGAGTCAGGGTTCAGGGTTCATGGTTAGGGTCAGGTTTCGGGTTTAGGATGGAGGAAACCGGATTGTTGTATTGTAGTCGTTGCGCGGAGAGGAGATAGTACCCCAGTCTGTGCTGTCTTTCAATCGCCGCATGCGGCTGCGAGGGCTACAGTCTTGGATGGAGCCCCCGATGCAGTCTCGGGTGCAAACTTTAGCACACGTTATTCATTTCAGCACATGCTATTTTTTTCAGCACAGGTTTTTGTTTTCAGCACATGTTATTCTTTTCAGCACATGTCATTCTTTTCAGCACATGTCATTCTTTTCAGCACATGTCATTCTTTTCAGCACATGTTATTCTTTTCAGCACATGTCATTCTTTTCAGCACATGTCATTCTTTTCAGCACATGTCATTCTTTTCAGCACATGTTATTCTTTTCAGCACATGTCATTCTTTTCAGCACATGTCATTCTTTTCAGAACATGTCATTCTTTTCAGCACATGTTATTCTTTTCAGCACATGTCATTCTTTTCAGCACATGTTATTCTTTTCAGCACATGTCATTCCTTTCAGCACATGCTATTCCTTTCAGCACATGTTTCTCGCTTTGGCCTAGAAGGACCAGCAGCCAGCCTCACATGCTCAATTGCTGCTTGTGGGATGCCTCGCAACTCAACAACCCAACTCCCTCCATTCCTCTCCTCACCTCGCATTCCCCTTACCCTTCCCCTTCTCCTCCTCTCCCCCCTCCCCTCTCTCCCCCTCCTCTCCCCCCAGGTTCTTCCCCCAGCTGCTAGCAGCAGCGCCCATAGGCGCGGGGCAGCTGCTGCTGCGCCTGCCCCTGCCCCTGCTGCTCAACGCCTCGCGCTGCTCCGCGCCCTTCCCCCGCCACCCTCTCCCCCCACGCCTCCCCCTTTCCCCCGAAGGCGACCTCGCCGCCTGCCTGCTGCTGCTACAGCAGCAGGGGGAGGGGGGCGAGCCGGGGAAGGGAGTGGCGGAAGGAGAGGGGGAAGCTGCGGGGGAGGGGGAGGGCGCGGGGGAGAGCTGGGGAGCGCAAGTGGCTCCTGCTGTGCTGCCGGCGCTGCTGGCGTCCCGCACGGCCCACCTGCTGCCCATGCTCAGAAACGACCTCCCCCACCTGCCCCTCCTCCACCAGGTCCGCCCTCCCCCTCCCCCTCCTTCTTGCTCTCCACCTTGCCTTCCCCTTCCCCCTAAGCTCCCCTCACCTCCCCCACTTCCCAAGATCTTGCTCCCTGTTATCCCACTCCCGTCGCTGCCCCCAATCCACCCACCCCTCTCTTCTCCCTACCCCTCTCGCCCCCTCTGCTTCGCCCTCCCCACTTCGCCCTGCCCATCTCACCCTCTCTGCATCGCCCTGCCCGCTTCTTTCTGCCCCTCGTGACCTCTCTGCATCTCCCTGCCGTTCATCCTGCCAGGCCTTGGCTCAGAGGCAGCAGTACGAGCACGAGTATGCCAACTGGACCGCCACAATTAGCACCACCACTGGCAGCAGCAACAGCAGTGCTGTGTCGCTGCCGTCGCTGCAGCAGTTTCTGGCGACGGTGGCGGCCGTGAGGGCGCTGGCTCTGCCCATGCGCCTGCCGCCCCTGCCGGAGGGGGATGCGGAGGGGGAGGAGCAGGGGGGCAGGGGGAAGAAGGGCGGGAAGAAGGGCGGAAGGAGGGGAGGGAAGAGGCAGAAGAAGCAGAAGCAGCGGCGGTTTGAGCTGACGGTGGTGCCTCTCGTGAATGCTGTAGCGCGGGCCAATGAGAGGAGCCAAGGGAACGTGCGATGGGAGGTGAGCTGAGAGGCACCACGAGAAAGTACAGTGGCAGGTGAGAGGCTGTCTGAACACTGGCAAGCTGCAATGGCAGGCTGGTTGGGTGGGTGGTGTGGTGTGGTGTGGTGTGGTGTGGTGTGGTGTGGTGTGGTGTGGTGTGGTGTGGTGTGGTGTGGACCCTACGTAGTTGAGATGTTACCATAGCAGCCCCCTTCGAAATCCCACCTATTGGCTTCATACGTCTGATGCCCTGTCTCTCCTATCCCCCCCATCCCCATTCCCCGATCCCTCTTCTCTCCCCGCACCCCCAGCCAGCTCACCCATGCGGGGTTCCACCTGAGGGCGTCTGCCTTCCCTTCTCCCTTACAATCCCTTTATCCCCACCCCACCCTCCCCCCCTCTCTCCCCGCAATCCGCAGCTGACCCACGCGGGGTTCCACCTGAGGGCGTCGGAAGCCATTCCCACCGGGGCTGCCCTCGTGCTGCCTCTCAACGGCGGCCTGCCCGACCCGCTGCAAGCAGCAGCAGCGCATGCAGGGGCGCAGGGGACAGCAGCAGACAGGGAGAGCGAGGAGGAGGATGGGGAGGGGGGAGTGCACTTGACATCATTGGAGGAGGTGGAGGAGGCAGACAGCCACGTGTCGCCGGTCACGCTGCTCTCGAACGACGATGCCTTCCTCTCCCTCGGGATCATCTCCCCCTGCTCCGCCTTTGATCGCGTCCAGGTCGGTACTGAGCGGTGCAGGGAGGTTTGGAGCGGTGCAGGCCCGTTTGGAGTTGTGTAATCTGTTGTGAGCGGTGCAGGTCGCTCGTGAGAGGTGCATGTGGGTCGGGAGGGATGCGGTTTTGTTGTTATTGTGGGTTTCGTGTGATGCACTCACAGACACGGGTTCACAAGAATCGTTCCCCCATTTGCTTGCCAGGTGGAGATCGAAATAACCAATTCTTGTCATTCCCACAGTCCCCATCCCCCCCCCCCCCCCCCCCCACAACCCCCATTCCCCCGATCAAATTTCTCGTTGCCCCCATGTTCCCCCATCACTCTCACCATACCCCATTTCGGCCCACTTCCCCCCGTTCCCCACATTTCCCCCACTTTTCCTCATTTCCCCCTACTTGCACCCACCTGTGCCAGCTCGTCCCGTCGTACGATGCACACACTCAGCACGTATTGCTCAGCACATCCTCATCCGCCTTTTCCTCTGTCACTTTCTCTTCTTCAGCCCCCCCTTCCTCTTTTTCGAATGTTGGTCCCCTCATATGATGACCGTGCAGGCATTTTGTTGATTACTCATTCCCCCCTGAACCCCTTCCCTCCACTCTTTCCCCCCCCCCCGTCTCTTCCCCCTCTCTCCCTTTTCTCTACCCTTTCCCCCGCTCCTTCGCCCGCATCAGCTCTACCCATCATACGATGCGCTCAGGCAGAGCGTCCTCAGTGCAGCGCACGTGAACCCAGACTTCAAGCCGTCAGCCTTCATGAAGCTGGCTGATCGCGTGCGCACAGCGCTGCTCAAGGAGGTGCTGTGGTGGGGGAGGGGAGGAAATGGCACTCACACCCACACCCCACCCATGCCCCTATCTCCCCTCTCTCTCCCCTCCCTCTCCTCCCCTTCTCTTTCCACCCTTTTCCCCTCCGCTTCCCCCCCGCATCAGCTCTACCCGTCATACGATGCGCTCACGCAGAGCGTCCTCAGTGCAGCGCACGTGAACCCCGACTTCAAGCCATCAGCCTTCATGAAGCTGGCTGATCGCGTGCGCGCTGCACTGCTCAAGGAGGTGCTGTGTTGGGGGGAGGGAGGAAATGGCAATCACACCCACACCCCACCCATGCCCTATCTCCCCTCTCTCTCCCCTCCCTCTCCCCCCCTTCTCTTTCCACCCTTGTCCCCTCCCCTTCCCCCCCGCATCAGCTCTACCCGTCATACGATGCGCTCACCCAGAGCGTCCTCAGTGCTGCGCACGTGAACCCCGACTTCAAGCCGTCAGCCTTCATGAAGCTGGCTGACCGCGTGCGCACAGAGCTGCTCAAGGAGGTGCGCGGGGTGAAGCAGCAGGTGCTCTCCACCCTGGTGCAGGAAAAGCTGCTCGCTGCCGCTGTGCGGGCCGAGAGCGGCCGCGGCGTGGGAGGGAGAGGCGGCAAGGGGGAGAGAGGAGGAGGGGTGAAGGGAGGAGGAAAGGGAGGAGGGAAGGGAGTGGTTGGGAAAACGGAGGAGGCGGGGAAGGAGGAGGAGGGGTGTGGAGGGGGCGTGGTGGATCAGCTGCTGTTCTGGGAGAGGCGACGGGCCATGCGGCAACGGTACCGGCAGCGGCAGAGGAAGCGAGCCGCTGCCCTGCTGGCTGAACTAGAGGCTGAGAGGGCAGAACGAGGCGAGGTAGAGGGAACGGGCAAGGGCAAGAAGGGCAAGAAGGGGAGGAAGGGGAGGAAGGGGAGAGGAGATGAGGAGGAAGAGGAGGAGTGGGGGGAGGACGAGGAGGATGCGGTGGAGGGTCTGTATGTGTACTCGGGTGGCAGGATGGACCCTGAGCTGGTGGCGTACTTCAGTGCCGTTGTGCTGCTGGCTGCCACAGGGCAAAGTGAGTTGCGTGTGTGAAGGATTGTTTAAGGTTCGCAAAAGTGAACATGGATCCTCCCGTTCGGGTGGCAGGATGGACCCTGAGCTCGTGGCGTACTTCAGTGCCGTTGTGCTGCTTGCAGCTACAGGCCAAAGTAAGTGAGTCGGGCTTTGCGGCACCCCTCAGGCTGCCTCAAAGCCCAAAGGGGGATGCGGTGGAGGGGCTGTATGGGTATTTGGATGGCAGGATGGACCCTGAGCTGGTGGCGCACTTGAGTGCCGTTGTGCTGCTGGCTGCCACAGGCCAAAGTGAGTCGTGTGTGCGCTTACTTGCACTGCACAGGGCTGCTTGTCAGGTAGTTCCCCTGTATCTGTTCGCTCGTGGCGCCCTTCAGTGCTGTTGTGCTGCTGGCTGCCACAGGGCAAAGTGAGTCGCGTCTGCTGCACAGAGTTGCTCGTTGGGTAGCTCCTCTATATCTAATAGCTGGTGTCGTGATTCAGCGCTGTTGTGCTGCTGGCATGGCAGCCACAGGGAAAAGTGAGTGACTTGCGTGTGCGGAGCATTTGTGAGACTTCCTTATGATGAAAGTCGTTCATGCTTTTCAGCAGCCCTGAGGTCGCATGTGTGTTTAGTTACACAGAATGGCTTGCTTGTGTATTGGGTTGGGCTTACCTACCCAGCTCCCACTCCCTCCTCCCCTCGCCCCTCCAGTGCCTGACATCATCTCCTTAGCGCGAGTGAGCATGGCAAACGCATAGAGCCTGGACGGCTTCTCAGGCATTGAAAAAACCCTCTCTTCTCCCATCCCCTTCCCTCGTGTATTGAGGGTGTTTTTGGGACGTCTCAAACATACGCATGGAGCCTGGATGGCTTCTCAGACATAAAAAAAAAACCCTCTCCCCTCCCATCCCCTTCCCTCCCTTCCCTCCCTTGTCTCCCACCCCACTCCCTTTTTATCAGTGCCGGACGTCATCTCCTTGGCGCGTGTGAGCGTGTCATACGCATGGAACCTGGACAGCATCACAACATGCACGTATATGCCGCTGCTCTCCGACCCCTCCCACCCACTCTACATGCACGTCCCCCTCGACCCCACCAACCCCTCCGCCTCGCCGCCGTCACCCGGTAACCACCCGGTGGTAACCGCACTCTCGCTCGCCCTGGACGTCACTGCCAGCAGCCTGCAGCGGCCGATATCAGATCTCATGACTGCAATGATTGCTCTCGACGAGGTCGGGCGGCGACTGATAGAGACGGAGCCCATCTGCCACATGGCGCAGCACTCTGAGATTCTATCCGAGACTTTGGATAAGGTGAGTGACGCTCGGTGTGCCACATGAGTGACGCTCGGTGTGCCACATGAGTGACGCTCGGTGTGCCACATGAGTGACGCTCGGTGTGCCACATGAGTGACGCTCGGTGTGCCACATGAGTGACGCTCGGTGTGCCACATGAGTGACGCTCGGTGTGCCACGTGAGTGACGCTCGGTGTGCCACGTGAGTGAGGGAGCTCAGCTCTTGTGTTTGGTGCATACCCATGAGTTTTGTCAGCACCGACCTGAAGGCTGATAGGGACAGAGCCCATCTGCCACGTGGCACAGCACTGGGAGATTCTCTCCGAGACCCTGGATAAGGTGAGAAAGAGAGAGCTCATTGTATATCCCCCGATAAGGTGGGAGAGCTTGTGGAAATACCCGTGCTCTGTTGTACGGCTGTGCGAGGTGTGTCACTGACTCGAGGGATGATGAACGGAGCCCATCTGCCACATGGCGCAGCACTCGGAGAATCTATCCGAGACCCTGGATAAGGTGAGGGCGGGTGAGAACTGAGCTCTTGTGTTGGGTTGCATGTCCATGAGGTTTGTCGGTTCCAACTTGAGGGCTGATAGAGACGGAGCCCATCTGTTTTGAGACGTCTCAAAACACTTCTTCAAACACGCTACCAACTTGAGGGCTGATAGAGATGGAGCCCATCTGCCACATGGCACAGCGTCCAGAGATCCTCTCCAAGAGGTTGGATGGGTTGACTATTTTCGGATCTCAACCTAGAAGCTTCTCTTCTCCCTTGGGGGAGCATGAATGTGTTTTGTTGCATGCCCAGGAGATGTGCTCTGCTCCCCTCTCTCTTCCTTTACCCGTTACCCTTACCATGGCACTTCCTATTTCCTTTCCCCTCTTACCCCCGCCCCGCCCTTCCAGCTCTGCCCACCTGCCTTCTTTCCGAGGCAGCAGCAGTGAAGCCCGTGGTAGAAAATCCTGTGACATAGTTCCAGTGAGCAGCAGTGAAGCCCGTGGTAGCGTTCCCTTTCTCACCTCCCTTCACTGGCACTCCCCACCCTCCCACTCTCTCCACCTCCTTCCGGATAGCGTCCCCCTTTCACCACTGCCCTTCCCAGGTCTGCAAACCGTCTTTCTTCACGGAGGCAGCAGCAGTGAAGCCCGTGGTGGTGCTCCCCTTCTCACCTCCCTCACTCCCCTCCACTCCCCCTCGCGCCCCCTGTTCCCTTCAAC